CCCCAAAACCCCAAAACCCCGTAAGACTAGAAATTTTAACAATTGAGCATGATAAAGTTTTTAGAAATAAATTTAATCTAATAATTAAAGGATTAATCTATTTCAAGTATCATTGATTTGAAGTCTCTCAATTTCTAAATGCAAAAGCAAGTTACAAATGCATTTTCAATGAAACTGAGTCATAAAGACTTAGGTCTTATCTTCAAATTCAGGAATTTATCACTGATTTTATTTTTGAAGCAATTAAGCAAGGGAACTCTTAATGAATTCCATGTCTTCTTGGATTTTAAGCACATAAGTACCAAGTCCGTCAACTTTGGTATCAAGTCCTTTAACTTATACATCAAGCCCATCAACTTTTCCATCAAGACCATCAACTTTGCCATCAAGACCTTTAGCCTATACTTCTAGCGCAACTATACCTTTAGATTATTTTTCAAATTCATTCTTGCTATTCTCTTATACTAGATCAAGTTTCTAATTCAATATAATAATTTTTGCATCAAGACCTTCATTAGTGAGTTGCTTAGAATTTTGACCTATCACTTTATCTAGCTTCTGATTATTCTTGGTTTGAATAGAATTAAGATTTTAGATAATTTCTGCTTTAGACTTAACCACTGTTGTCCTTATGGTATACTTCAGATCTTTTATAAATCCTTGCCATTCCCCAGCATCAGTGATTTCTGTGTTTTAAGGTCTTCTGATAACAATATAATTTGGAAAGTATTTTGTGAGTTTCAATTCATCTTAACTAAAAAGCTGTTCCCTCTCAACAATCATATTTGCTTTTACTCTGTATGATTCAGCGACTAATTTCTGCATAACTCTCTCATATGATTCAGATATCACAGCAATTATAAAGTTCATGAATACGATATTCAAAGTCAGGACTGCTATTAACCAGATGATCCATGTAAAAATTACTAAACCGTCAGCTTAACTATGGTAATCGTCAAGTTGGAAGTCTCCAGATGAAATTCTAAAGGCCATCAAAAAGTATGCTAACTTATTTACTCCATTATATTCATCAATTTACTAAGCCTTGAAAATGACTAAGAAGATCATTCCAAACTGCAAGATGAAAATTATAAAGAATAATAAGAAGTATTTGAGATCTTTGAAAACTCCAGCCATCATTTGAACTAAAAAACTGAAGCCATCATATATTCTCAAGAAAAAGAATAGCTTCATAAAAGATAAAATTATGACCAGAATTTTAATCAAGATTAGGTTTTCTTG